ATCATCTAATTTCAACCCCGAAACAAAAACTTTGTTGTGTTGTGATATTTGGAGAGACGTTTGGATTTTTGAAGAGTGCTGGCCAATTTTTATTATTATTCTCTGGATCTTTTTGATTGTTTTCCCTCTCACAGACAAAGAAAAATTGGGTATTGCAATCTCTGTCATTCCAAAACAAATCTTTATTTCTCACCAACCAAAACTGTAAGCATTTTTCGTTGACGTTGTCTGATTGATTTGCCAGCCAATTTGTATAATCGACAACTGTTGCATCGGACATCCAAATGAATCTTTATTAATTTGTGCATCCAATATGACACAAACTAATTGAAATGAAATTATGTGAATACTGCTCCGAACAACTCAATCTTTTAATGAATAACCATTTCAATTTTTAAAATTCACTATATAATAATGAAAACCCTATGTTACGACATCAATATGTAATATTCCAGTATGCAGATCTTAAGGCTTAGCAATTCTTAATTTGAGGTTAACATTTATAACTACAATATGAAATTTACATATCGTGACATATGAAATGTCCACAGTTTATTACTTGTGAAAACAACCATTTGTGAAGTACAAATGAATTGTAACNGATGATTTCCTAAATCCGAATTGATTTGGGTTAAATAACTTGTACTTCAGAAAATACTCATAAAGCCTATTTTTAAGGATGATTTCAAACAATTTTCCAAAAATTGGAACGATAGATATTGGTCGGTGGTTTTCAATTTCATCATCACCGCCTTTCTTAAAAATTGGGACAACTCTTGTCACTTTGAATTCACTTGGAAATACACCCTTTTCAATACAAGCGTTGAAGAGTACTGTAAGTGGTTCAATTATATATGAGGCTGTTTCCTTGACAATTTTACTATTCAGTTCGTACGCATCCAACGAGTTAGAGTTTTTCAGATTGGATATCGCACTAGCAACCTCACTGCTTAGAATGGGTTCCATGAAAAAGGATCCTGATACATTAGGCCTGTCCGATTTAGACAGAGGAACAGAACAAGAATTTGAAGGGGACAGATCCTCAGAGATTTTTAAGCCTATGTTTACGAAATAAGAATTAAACTCGTTTGCAGTGAACTTAATGTCTTTTTTTTTGGTACCTTCACCATTCATTTCTAGTTTAATGAGTCTCCAGCTGTCTCTTACTTTGTTGTCAGAATTTAAAATGAACTCATCGTATGAATTTCGTTTTGCAGATATTACCATTTTTTGGTATTCCCCGTATAATGTAAGATATGCCTGTTTGTATCTATCATCATGTGTACAGTCAAATATCGTTTTTATTGCAAGAACTTTATTTTTCATGTTTTTTATTTGATCGTTTATCCAGTAACGCGGTTTTGTCATCTTGCCTGAAACGTTCTTAAGAGGAAAGTTTACATTTATTAATCTTGTATAACAATCTAATAGAAAACCAGTCATATCCTCAATTGAGCTTAGCTCGAAGAAAGTATTCCAGTCAACTTCATTAAGGGAATTTTTCAATTTTTCTAATCCAGTTTTTGTAATGAATCTCTTTTTTTGAATTGATTTGCTGTTATTGTAGATACTTTTAATTTTTATATATTGGCCATAGTGGTCAGATAAACACGGGTCGATAATACCAGTTTCGAAATAATCTTTGTTAGGTATGTTAGTAATTATATTATCAATACAGCTCTTTGTATCATTATCAACTCTAGTAAATTCAGAAATTGTAAAATTCAGTCCGATAAACGCAAATGATGACTGTAGAAAAAAATTATGGTATGTGGAAAAACATATTTTACAGCATATTTTATTGATGATGCATGTGTATTCTTTCGTGTCCCAATTGTGATGATAAAAGGTCTTGAAATGTTATGCAAGACAAAATTTCTTGTGTAACGAAAAAAATTAAGGGAATTCATTCATTAGTCCATTTGAAACATGATAATAAAAAGAAGCTGAAATTGGTCAAGCACCGGAGTTTCCAACTGGAGTTCAAAAACTCACAAAAATGATATGACATTTATTTCAATCAACGAAAGTCGGTGGCCATTAGAAACACCTTGTAAACTCAACTCAAAGCAGACTCTCTTCAAATAATTAATGAATGTGAATGTTAGGACAGTAAAAAAGTCATTCAAAAGCATTTACTCACCCTTGAAGAATTTTCCACCAAGCAAAGAAACACCACGTCTTCTCTCTGCAGCCTCACTGCTGAATGTAAAGGCAACTGTGTTTTACTCTTGAGCATCTTGTAAAGCAGGGGCCCCGACATATGTTCAAAGTCAGATGTATTCAGATCATCCCAATGGGTTGATATAAGTCCTGAACAATATTCTCGTAAATTAATGGCCTCTATTTCTTCGGCAACCGAATAAAATTTTACGCAGGATCTAATGTTCACTACCGATATTAAAAACTGTTCGCACAATTCCACCAAGCTGACAAGTTTGAACTCATATGCTTTTCTTATGAGCTTTAATGCAAGAACAGAGGAGGATAAGCTCAAATTACTGGTGTATAACCAGAGTATCATGGCATTTCCCACATCTGAATCCATTTCAGTCCAGTCAAGTTCATTTTTGTTCTTTAGTAGAGCATCATTCCAAATATTACTGCGGGCATGGAGAACTAGCTTATGGGCAGAAACTTCTCTATCAGCAAGCTTAATTTTTATATCACTATATATTTCCGAGTCATAAAGACTGCTTATGGTTTTCAAGAGGCGGGATGCAAATGTATCTTCTGTGTTTTCATTATTGGTTGCCGCTATTGTATTATATTTTGATTCAATCTCTCTGTATTTGGTTTGAAGTTTTGAATATTCCTGTTTCAGAAGTGACAAATGCTGTTGAAGCTTTGTGACCTCAGAAGACTGAGCTGAAAAAATAAACTTCAGTTTAAGCCTCATGAAAGAAATGAGGACAAATTAATTTATTTCAACAATACCAACAGGAAATATTTAAATTATAACGGATGTATTCATTTTTGACAAGGTTTGTAGTTTGATTTTGAAAGACTCCACAACTGAAGCAAAATCAAGAATTGTCAACCAATAATTTCACAACTAAGCTATTTTAGGAATCATCATATTCAACTGACAACACTTAAAACTTATAGTACATTTATGTAAATTCGACTCAAAGTTTTTTTTTCTAAATTAGAGGATCAACAGATACAACTCAAGCACTCAGAGGATTAATCGATTTCCCGATATAATTTGAAATCAATGAACAGTAACTTCTTTGAGTTTGTTACTTGGCTTGAATAATCATTGATAAAAAGCACTCAAGATGAATTAAAGATTTAGGGAGGATTCATGAACCAGTCGAAATAAGGCAAAAGCCGTTAAATATTATTCTATGTTTAATTATAAGAGTCACTCGTAAGTTTTTAGTTGTAATAGATGACAAAACATGAATTCTAAAAAAAACGGAAAACTGTTTTATAAAATAGAAAGAGGAAAAATGGCAAATCAGGCTTACCCATTTTAGCCACAGTAGTTCAAAATAATTCCAAATAGATGTTAAAGCTTATATCAGAGGATTGAACCGATAAAATATTTGATTTTTACTTCAAACATTTAACCTTTCCACCCCAAAAATTCATAACCTCTTTCTAAATTTGATATAATTTTTATTTCCCAAATTAATAAATGCATTCAGTGACAGTTTGATAATGCATAAGACGAAGGCAGAGATATATGGTGTTGCCTGTCTTAAAGAAAGATGCATATATTCGAGAATTGCACAGATTTTTAGCACAGTATAGCGTTTACTGTGTTTTTAGTAGCAATACATTATTTGTAGGCCTCCTTAATTTTTGGTTTATTGAAATCTATAGCTTGATTTTATATAAGAGTTTTTCTAGGCATCTTGTGTCATTTCAATTTCGTCGGGAGGACGACATTATACAGGTGTAGAAAGGGTAAACTTTTCAGTTCAAAGTAATTTTCACAAAGAAAATTAACAATTTTTATTTTTTTCAGATTGTGGAAGGTGAAAATCCCAGAAATGTTGAATCACATACAAGTCATATATCATTATTCATGTCATGATTACTTGAAAATGAAAACATTATGGACCAAAATATCAGATTCTATATATCGTTACAATCTAAACGGCAATATATTTTATCAATGACAATTAACTAACTAATATTCAAATTTCAAAAACGGGCAAGCCTATAATGCGTGGAGTTAAGGCAAAGACAATTCAGTAGTTTTAGAAGACCAGAGACTAGAATTTTCTTGAGTCAGAGCGGTGTCAAGGCAGAACCATGCTTGTCCAAGTATCTCAAAATTTTCGCGAATAAAAGGGTTGCCCAAATGAATTGACTGCCTCTCGTATGAACACGCTATCTATAGGATTGCCATGTGAATCGACGAATATCAAAGCTTCCGACAGAGTTTAGATTATCTAGCATAAATCCAGGTGGGGTTTTGGTCCGACCCAGACCCACTTCAGTGTGGGCTCCATCTGTAGTATCAACTTGATTCTGGAACTCCTGGCTGAATAGTTTTGGCAGCCGAAGCCATTAATGAAAAAGAAAAAAAGAATACTACCCGCATTGCTTCAGTAGTTAAGGCCAACAATAATGAATTGAAAGAGAAGAATCTGAACAGACAATTTATTTTCTAGGTTGAAGTAGTTCAAAGGAAATAAGACAAACAAAAACAGCAGAACCAATAAAAGGAAAAAACGTAAAAGCAAAGAAAATCAAAGGAAGTTCTTTTGGAGCGTTTGATATTTTGTATATTAGTATAGTAACAAAATGGCTGATAGGCTTACTCAGTTACAGGACTGCATCAATAAGGTACGTATTTCTCATTCAAGAAAACTGGGAATTTGTAAACACTTCCTTTGAATTTAATTTCAGCAAGCAGAACATTTTTGTAATAGTATTGGGATTCTTCAGCAGTCTGCTCCTCCTAGTAAGTTCCCAAATTTCGATAGAAGTGGATCCCAGACTCCTCAGCAACAACAAAATCAAGAAGACTATGTTCAATTATTCACAACATTGATATCAAGATGTGCAAAAGACATTGACACACTTATTGAATCACTGCCTAGCGAAGAAAGCTCTACAGAGTTACAGGTTTGTTGTTTACTCTGAAGGTAGCAGTAGCAAAGGTGGCGAAAAGTTTATCAGTAATTATATACATAAGTAATTGAGTAAATATTCATTTTAATGGCTCATACTTGTCAAAAATTTCCTACTAGACTTACTAACTTTGTTTTCACTGATAACGAATCTTGAGTTAGAACTGCCTAATAAAATGTAAAACTGTAACCTTTCATGTAGAATAAATCCAAATTAAGTACTTTTCCCAATCACCAGAACTGCAATTATCTTCTTAATGGGCGTTTCACCAACCAAATTGGCGCTTTCAGGAGAAAATAAAAACTTTTCTTCATCTCAATATTTTTGACTGTTGAGTTGCTATATCTCTGGAAGTAGAGTGAAGGGCCAAGTTGAAATGAATATTTACCAAAAATTATTGTCGTTGCAAAATGTGCTGTTACAAAGGTATATGAGAAAAAATATCTTTATAGAAGATGGTCCAGTTAATATTTTTTCGTGTTTTAGCATGCAAGTTTACGAATTTTGGAACAAGAAAACCAAGAAGCAGCAGAGAGATTAGAAGCTGTTGTACAAAATGGGCAACAGCTGCTAGAAAGGATACAAGCTGCCTTAAGTGATATTGCTCAAGCTCAACTTGATATGCAACACCTATCGAAAATTGCTACAGGTGGAAGAGAATAAATGGCTACAATCACTACAAATATTTCTGTTTTCATTTTACACTTGATATCACTGTTTAATCATTTGGACATAGATTAAAAAATCAAAGATTGGTAGGAACCTTATTGTTCAGGACAAAATTGTTGGCGTCAGATGAAGACATTCTTGTTATATAAGTGATGTAGTAGGTAAGAGTCATAATCAAATGTGTTTTAGATAATTACCTGAAAGTCAAACACTGATTATCCATACTCTAAGATGAGTGAATCTAGAAATGTTATGAAAATAACAGCCAGTGTCCTTTTGATTCACACATGATTTTTAGAGTAGTAATGAAATGAATTTAAGTCAGTTTGATAAAAAATTTAAATCAGAAAGGTGACATATTCTGGGGGTACATACATATAACATATTATACAGTGTGCGTCGGTCAAATTGAATTTCTATTGAAAGTTCTCAAAAATTATTTCATATAAAGGTTTTGAAATATCTTATAATATACATGGTACCGAGTAGAAGCGTGTCCTATAAAATTCAGTTTTATTTAATGTAATAAGATGTTGCTCTCCCCCATTTGGATATCATTTTTTCAATACTGAGATAATTGATTTTTTCTAATGGAACACTCAATATTTCATTCAAGACGTAATTTCTCCTTGGAAAGCTCTTTAGGTATAGGTAAATAAGTAGTAGTTAGACAGTTATAACAAAAATAGTTTCAAGAATATATTATTTTCAACATTGAACTTCTTCAGCAAAAAACTCGAAAATCAAATCTCAGGATGAAATAAATTAGATACAGACTATCAATAGGTCTTCTGGTGATCAATAAATCATCAATCAAATTATGCTAAAAATGTATTTTGTGTTTGTTGAACTCTCTAGAACCACTAGGTATATACACTCATGAAAATGCATATTTTTAAACAGCTTTTTGCAATGAAATCAAATGTTGTTCCATTTATAAAAATCAAGAAAAAATTGTTTTCAAATTTTGATTCACCTAGAAAAATAGTTTTAGGTCAAATTATCAATAGATCAAACAATTTTATAATGAAACAGACTTTTCAAATGACTTTTTAATGAATATAGCATGGTTGAACAAATCATCTTTGTGACATATTTTGCATAACTTCTGAGCTTGTGTAAATTTTTGACTATTCAGAGGCAGTTTACTCTTCTATGTGTAAGTTCTCTTGTCTTTTTTTCATGGTGCATTCATTGTTTGCATATAAAGGCTCAGAAGTGACAAACGTCCGTATCTTATTTCTGCCAGACGTTCATTCTGTGTGAATCAGAACTTAGATTTGGATTTGTCATGAGCATTTTTCAAACCATTCTATTTGTTTGAAAAATCTGGGTCTCTGTGTGTGTCATCACTTGTATGTCTCCGTCAGACATTTCATCAAATTCATGAGTGGCAACCCTTTATCCATGACAATTGCTACCAAACCAAATAAAACGGGGTCTACTAGTACCATTTATAATGATCTACTCTTCTGTATTCAAACTTCTGACGAATAATAATACCTCATTCCGTACACCATACTTTTATTGGATACTTTGTATATTGTAGAATATTTTGAAAGAGCCCAATGAATTTGTATCTAAAAAAAACTTTCATAAGGAATATTTTTAGTAACTTCACTTCTTCATCTCGAATTTGAAGTGACACATACTGTATATTATTTCACCATGTGAAAATAGTACCATTATAATTAACCTTGATGTTTCTTCACTGCTGCCTGAGAAATAACTCAAAAATTCAGGATTAAAAATTATACAGAATCTATTGAAACTTCGAAAGGCATTCAATAAGTGAATTATGTAGACAATATGTTTGGTGATTTTAAATATTTGCTTTGCGAATTTGCCTTTATTCATGGTAGTGTATTATTGTAGAACAGGGTATCTTGATGTAGGTTTTTTGATGATCCTTCTTGGCAGGAAACTCTTAACCTATTCTGCATTTTTGTAAGACTGTGTTTTTGGTATTGAAATAAATATTTGTTTTTTTAACGGTTTCATCTTTTCCCCTTCCCATTTCCCTCATGTTTATATGTGAGACTTTCATGAACAAAGACATTTCTAGCGGTAAAGTCATGAATAATCATTTCATAATATTCTCTTGAAACTAAACAATGTTTAGTTGATTTAAATTAAACTTAATTTATTTATATTGATTAATTTTACCTATAAACAAACGGATGCATATTCTAAATTCAGTTTGACGAATTTAAATCTGTTTTTCCCTTAATCAGCTATCATACCAATTAAATTAACAATACATTTCTGGGTATTGCCAATTTGATTTCATTCATTGCAAATTCAGTTTCTTTCCTGTAAAGGTTTTATAATGGGAATCTCACAAGAGTCCCTGAAATTTTCATGGATGATTTGGATTGAAAAATATATAGTAATTCGGTGGAGGAAAATTAGTTGTACATGTAGATATGTGGACAACAAGTATCGGCCAATGCCATCACATATAATTATCAATTTGATTCTGAGAACAAAATTACATTTTAACGTCATAATTCTCTTACCTACCTACATCAGACCATTGTTTGACTTTTTCCATAATAACTTTTTGGGATTTTTATTGTATGAGTATTAATGTATCTGATGGAACTGACCGATGAAATTGATATATCTTTTTGCAGAGACTTAAAATGTTAAGAGAGCCTAAAAAAATTCAAAACAGGTGTCAAAGAGCTTTTGATCAAGTTAGAACCTTATTCACTTCAGGAATATCTAGACATGTTATAAACCTTTATGTAGAAATTGTGTGACGTTTCATTTTGTTTGATGTTTTCTTTATGAAATGTAGAGCATTCTCTGAAATATATTATTATAATTATTATTATTGTATAGTGAAACATGTAATTTAGTCTCTTCAGGTTTCAGGTGTGTGATAAAACAATTTTGCATTTGAAGCTCTTTTCCTTTTAAAAAAAAATCCGTTTTTTCCGTTAGCCAGCTGTCGCACCCCTACGAACGACAACCCTCAGAAGTCGAAACTTGTGCGAGCTAAGAATTAACGAGGTCTTACCTTTTAACGTGTAATTCGTAACACGGGTTGGACGATAGCAAGTGAAGATCGATCGTTCAGACTAGGGCTTGAACCACCGACCAACATGGCAGTCAATTCGAGTGAGTGAACAAAGTACCCACGCCGAACCGCTTGGCTAAAGGTTATAATGGTAATTGTTGTAATACTAAAACAAAAAAGTGTACTTTCTTCATTTAATTGTCAGTGTTCGAAATAAAAACACAATATTCAACAAATAATTATCACTAGTATGTACATGCGAATATATACAGATAAAAAAAAACGTATAATTTAAAAGTCTAATAATCGTTTCTCGTTATGATACACTAAAGACCATTAAAATGAAATTCATGATAAAAAGTTACCAACAGGACCCCTGCAAAATTACCAGTAAATTTTTACACAAATATTTACATCTGATGCTGAGAAGTTGCAGTTCCTAATCTTGGAATAGTTGGTATGAATTGAACAGGATTCAAGCTTTACTCTGGAGTTACGATATATCTCAATATGACATACTCCCATAAGCGATAGAGCCATGCTCAATATTTTTTTGTTACACCATTTCAACCATTGAAGATATTAATGAAAATTCTCACTAGGATTTGGTTTTACATAAATTTCCAATGAAACAAGTAAAAATATCCAAACAAATTTCTCTCGAACTTGGATGAAAAATATAAAATTATCCTTATTTAAAAAAAGGACAGAATTCTCTTCAAAGACAGCAAACCTAAAAACAAAGCAATTTTTTTTATAAACATTCAAAAAAAACTGGTTTTCACTCCTATTATTTTCTAATTACATGATTTCCCTTTAATTAAATCGCAAAAATAAGATACTACTTTCCTCTCCGCCAGAAAGTTCATTCAGAACAATATTGCAAGTTGAATATTTCACTCTGATTACGATAATGAACACTTTAGTTCTCCATCAGTTCAAAACTATCAGTGTAATTTTCAATGAAAGTTTCTGTGAGAATCTTCAAAACCGACTTGCCTTTGCGTTTAGTTGAGGGTACCTCTACAACCGGAAGTTCCACACAAACACGGTATCTTCTCGTCTTCGATGGGGAACTTGTAGTCATATGTTATCTCTTCATTGACTCCTATGGTTTGCTTTGAGTATATCACAATCTTCTTACGTGATTCGATTGAAATCACTTTGGCATAACAGTTAGGCTAAAAAAATATTAGTTAATATGGAAAAAGGAGACTGATTGAATGTTTAAAAGTGGTACGAGGTAACGTAACCACTTTTTTCTTCGATATCATCATATTAAATAAGTGAAAATGAAAAAAACTTCAAAAATAATACTTACACTACAACTGTGGTTGATAAACCTAGCCAAATTACCACACTTTGTTGCATCTATAATATTCTCCAGATCGATTCTGAACAAATACGAACTGCCAATTCCAGTTGCTTCATATTTTTGTTCCCTGAGATCAGCTACACTATGTCGTATCATTTGACCAACATATTCAATAACCTGAAAAATATTTATTCACATATTGATTTATTCATGGCATTGTCTATTTCTTAACAAATTAATTTAGAAATTCACACAAATGTAATGTAATAATAATCTCTATAATTATCAGCTAGATGAAAGGAAAAAATATAAAAAAAAGGCAAAAATAAGTCAATCAATTACAATATTTTCAAATGATTCAAAAGATTAATTGAAAAGTTCTAAATCCACATTGTAAGTAATAATAATAATAATAATAATAAATATACTTTATTGTCTGAAGATACAATAATCTTATCGACAAAGTGTAGACATTCATAAAACTTGATATATCATGGTTCACATGATATTGTCAATAAAATATAGGACTATCAATTAATTTAATTTTCAATTGGTTGTAACTAGTAATAAGATAAATAAATTAAATAACACATATAACATACTGAGCTGTGTTTGCAAGTCTCAAAATTCTACCTAAAGACTAATTCTGGCCATAGTTGGCCATACTTGAACTTGTGAGTAAAAACATTTGACTCACCATTTCGTCAGCAGCAATAGGTTCCATTGCAAACAGTCCCCAATCATGAATGGCCGATTTGGCAAATTTGAGTTGTTTCTTCCTATATTTGAGTTGATTGAATTTCAGTAATTCAGAATCAGTAACACTGCCAAACGCTGTAAGAAGTCTCCTCTGATTGGATCTTGCTTCTCTTGATAATCCTGGAATTCAATTGCATCTCTCAAAGATTTATCTACACTTTATGCNGAATATGCAGAAATGTAAGAATATTCAAGTATTTGATGAGTATGTTATATCCAGACTTTCACCCTGATTTTATTATTTTATTATACATCCAATTTTGACTAATCTTGTTTTTTTTCTTTATATTTTATACATTTTTATACTTCAAAACTACTGAGATATTTTATCTTTATGTATGTTTATTTTCTTTATACTATTTTAGCGTGTTGTACTGACATGTCCTATACGTTGTTAACGTCTCAAAGAATAAATAAATATTATTATTATAGTTTGATCTCCTACCACGCAGTAATGGCTACATCAATCAATTTATTAAAGTAGGTTCAATTTTTTCGTCACAGTTTCGGTAGGAGTTTTGACACCAATTACCTCCCTGGGTATGGCCTTGAGCTATTCAACAGATGAGTCTTACCTTGTTTTGTAGTTGCCTGTACGGAGTCTGTCATAATGGCGTTTGATTTGGCATGATGATACTTGTACCTAGACTTCTCATGGGCTGAAATCTTATAGTACCCTTCAGTCCTTGCACTTCCACTAACATGTAATCTTTCGTCCTTTTTCCTTCTCTTCGGCGGGCATGAGTACAAGTCTGTCATACAGTGATCAACCCAATGGGTGTCATTTAGCCAGTAGCCCATTGTATCGTTGGAGAGCATTTCATCATAAGTTTGTTTCATGTATTCCGTGTCCTCCTTGTCGATACCTGAAATGGCGAATAATGATTTTTTTAGTCTGACAAACTATCTGGTACTAGATAGATAGATGGATGATACATTTGTCGCTTTAGGTTGCAATATAGGAGATATGTCAAAAAAGTAAATCAGCAACAATTAATTCCACATTAAGAAGTCAAAACATATTAGTGGAACTTTCGGAGAACAGGGCCATTGAATTTGGTGTACCACAGAGTTCTGTGTTAGGCCCTATTCTGTTTCTGTTATATATGAATGATATATCTACGATTAACATATCTGGTAGTTTCACTCTATTCGCGGATGATACTACAATATTGTGGAAAGAAAAAACTCAATGGAGCTAATTAAAATAATATCAACCGACTTGAAGAAGGTAAAGAGCTGGTGCGATGCAAATTTATTTTATCTAAATGCATCCAAAACGAATATAATATCATTCAAATGTTCGCTTGATGGCATTTCAATAGACGCTGACGTATTACAAAATAAATTAAACACAAAGTTTCTCGGTGTATTCATTGATAATAGGCTGAAATTTGATGAGCACCTTGAACAACTGAAGAGTAAGATCTCCTCAGGATGTTATGCAGTTAGAGTGGTTTCAAATGAGTTGGGTTTCCATGTCGCAAAGACCGTTTACCATGCACTTGTTGAATCTCGACTACGTTATGGAATACCTTTTCGGGGAGCATGCAACTCATCCCTTCTCTCTTCTGTATTGATATTACTAAGGGCACTAAGATGTCTCTGTAAAGTTAAACCCAGAGAATCGTGCAGGAATTTGTTCACTGCTAATAAAATGTTAACAGTCATCGCACTTTTTATCTTAGAGACAGTTTGCCTTATTTATAAACATAAATCGAAGTTCAACTTTGCTTTTACTCCTTATGCTACTTGTAATAGCAATTATACCTTTAGACTTCCCATCCCAACTTCGAATTTAATCAAGGATTCCATATACTACAATGGTGGTAAATTGTTCAATCATTTACCATTAGAAATGAGATCGCAAATTTAAGCAACGTTCATTTCAAAAAGGCGGTGAAGAACCTATTTGTGGATAGACCCTATTATAGTTTGGAAGAGTATTTTAGTGAATCCTTTTAATAATATATTACTAATATTTTTACTACTATTGTACTATCACTTTATACATGGTGGTATTTTATCTATACTTTTTTAGTACTTTTTTTATATCAACATTGTATTTCTTGGACTTTGTCAATAAGATGCAAATCTTCGGACAATAAAGTATATTTTGATTTGATTTGATACACTTCAAAGGCCATACACACAATATGAAAAACTAAACTATCCTCGCATTTGGTATGAAATGCTCATCGAATTGAGTATTTTTTCAGTGTCTATTAAAAAGTTTTGAAGTTTTTTGATTTTCATGGATGAAAAGTTGACATAGAAATAAATTATTCAAACATTTATTCACTTATGCATTTCAGGAATAGGGAATATATCGGAAAGTGGTTATCATTTCCAATGTTGATTGTGATGAAATAATAAAAAGATACGAGTTCATTAAAAAAAAAAAAGATTCAATTTTTGGTTACCAATATGCAGTAGTTGATGAGGACATCCTGTACAAAATAATGATAAATTTGGACTACTACTCGTTTACTCTAAACCTTTTCATAACTACCAAATTTTCATAATTTTCCTACTTATACTTTTCACAATATCTATTGATGCAGTTCCCGTAGAGTCACCCTGTATATTTTCATTACCTTTAGTAAGGAATTCATAGAGTATTCCAAACTCTGATATCTGATCTCGAGGTTTGTGCAAGACACCGGCATGAATGTTGTATGGCAGAGCAGCTTTTCTGTAATCAAATTGGTCCTCGAAGGCCATTTTGTTCTGGAGCTCCTGTAATTTCTTGTAACCTTTCGGCTTCCTAGGTTTCGGCTGCTTGGGAGGAATCACCTTAATACCAACCTTTTCCATCTCACTGTTAACTTTTTCCACCGTCATCTTTTTCAAAGTGTATTCGTGATCATTGGTCGATTGGATGTTTTTATGTGGTTCCTGCGGTAAATTAATATTATCCTGTAGCGGCCTCTGCATACAGTAAGAGTGTTCATTAACAACCTTGAAAAATGAAAACACTTTCAATGGAAGTCCAAATTCAATCCCTTCAACTAAAAACAACTCAACTTACCTGACTACACGGACTGCTCTCTCCAGTTGAACTTTCTGATAATCCCTTTACTGTAATAATGTCGCCATTTATATCTGATCGTATCTTGGCTTTCTTTTTCCTTCTTTCTTCTAGGTTTTCTTCATCGGAGTCACTCTGCGAACGTGCCTTGAATTTAATCAATTGTTCAGAAGGTCTTGTTTGGCCATCTACATCCATCTCGCTCGGAGGATCTGGATTGCGTACTTGCTGAAGTAAAGCATCCCGTTCAGCTTCTAACTCCTCTAAAGACTTTTCCATAACGCTTTCCTCAGCTTCTGGTTCATCCACCTCCATTTTCTGAGGTGATATGCCTGTCTCCAAATCCTTCATCGATTCCCTTTCAGGCGACTTGGGTTGTCTTTCGCCTCGTTCTTTCTCCATCTGTTCCATATATTCAGTGTTCAACCTTCTTCTTTCTAATATCAAACGTTCAGTATCACTGAGGTCACTATCACTGTCATATAAGTCCACTGGAAGTTTATTGGTTTTTTCAGGTTTCTTTAGAGTGAATAAATCATCAGAGTCCACCTGAAAAGGCAAAAAGGCAATGAAGTAAATAATAATAATACTTTATTTCCATAAAAACAATATAAAATAGCATAGGAAACTTAGTTCATTATAAAAATTAAATGAGGTGGCACTAAAATAAATACAGACCTAAGAATTATTAAAAGACTTCATTCAATTCAATTCAATTCAGAAAAAAGTGAAAGAATTCCTTGTTGTGAGGCCCTGTTATAGTGTAGACACATTCTACCAAGGCTCTATCGAGTAATTGGCAGTAGTATCTTTATGTCAACAAGTTAATGAAATCAACATGAGATGGCTATCAAATCTCATTACGTAGCATTGTATATTTACATTTATTCAATATTCATATATTCATGTACTTATATTTGTATCTACTCATCTGGGCTTAATATTGTTCTGTCCATATACGATGCTCTTGTCTCTAAGCATTACTTTATAGCTTGTATTTGTCAATTTAATGTCCCATATAACTGAATATTACTGGAGTTTTTTCCCAACACCAAGAGGAAGATTAATCTTCCTCTTTGAAGATGATCACTTGGTGATCGAAACACGTGTCGAGGTGTTAAAAATAACGATTTGGTGTTGGAAAAAACTCCAGTAATATTCATTACTACACCAAACGTTCTAAACAGTGCATCATAATCCCACATACATGTTTTACTTTACTAGACTTTGTCAATAAGATGTTCAAATATCTTGGGTAATAAAGCATATTTTGATTTGATTTGAAGTCAGTCTCACTGTGTAAAGTTTTCAATGCTTTTTTAAAGATTGTGAATACAAATAACATGTGTTTTATCTGTGTTGAAAAATAAATCAAGCCCATTAAAAAAACTGGATACTTGATTTAATGCTCTTCAACATTTATCCTTTTAAACGATACATAATTTTTTATAAGCCAATCTGAATTGTCAGTTTGCTTGGCTTCAAACCAACAGATATCTATATTATATTCAAATTATATTTTATTTATGTTTATAATTTTGTACTATTTGACAGTTCTGCTTGAGAAAGCTATTGTATAGCGAAACATGTGTCTTGGTTTTGTAAGCCTTTCATAGTGATAATCACAATAAACTATATGAGTAAGTTTTTACAGATCATGTCACTGTCATAAACAGTCCAAATTACCTGCATCGGTTCAGGAGTTTTGTTCCTCGCCTCGATCCCATCTCTGAGAGGCGAGCTGCTCTCCTCCATGGACTCGACGGCCTCCTTAATCTCTGGCTCAACTTTTGGACTAACACTTCGCCTGTCGATTTGTTCAACTTCGATTTCCGAATCGGATGAGCTCTCATCTGAGCTCTCACTTTCGCTCGAACTGAACGAACTGGAACTGCTTGCACTGCTGGTCGACAATTTACGCTCCGTCCTCTCTAGTGGCCTGCTGCTAACCTCCGAATCTGAATCGTGAACGATCTCTTCATTGTCGGACTCTTTGTGAGATTCATCCTCGTCTTCTGGCACTGGTGACGGAATTTTTTTCTTGCGGAAACTTGGCATTTTAGGAAGAGAGGCTCTCAGTCCTAGGCCGCCGCCTAGTGAATTGTTGTACAGGTTTTCACGGTTCGATTCAAGAAGAACGTTGATGTTGTCTCGTGACAGGACCAGCTTTTCAGCCTCCTCCTTCTCTTTTGATTTGTTTTCTTTCGAACTTTCTTCTTCCCACCTGAGGTAGAATAATGGTAATAATTAGCTTTATTAAACAATTCAAATACAGGTACAATGTATGATATTATTAGGAATAAAGCTTTTAGAAACAAAAACAGGTAATGTAAATGTAAAATCAATGAAGTATCAAAGCAAATCGATTAATATGAAGTACTCATAAAACCACACTGGATGCAATGTGTTAGAAATCGTACGTTAAAATGTAAGACCTCATTAATCCTCATTTCATAAAGTTCTCGGGTTGTGAAGGGTTGTCGTTCATATAAAGACGATAGTTCGTAAACAGAAAAACAAAAAATGACGGCGTCCAAATGTGAAAAGTAGTGACACAGAAAAACCCCTAGGCATTCATAGGTATTAAACAAAATCATGATCATATAAAAAGTAAATAACCATGTTTCTCTGTCTACGAGGATTTCTAACTCAACACAACAATAATGAGAGGATGTATTAAAGAAACAAAATTAAAGATGACCCCAACGATACTACAATCTTGATGAATCCAGCAAAGATGAAATATGATCATAGGAGATACACGGAAGACGATGGAAAGTTTTTGGAAGGAGATCATCTCCTGATGATGTCTAGGACATCTACAGGGTGAGAGAAATGAAAAAATGATAAGAATATTGGGAAAAACTCGTCTCTTTCGCCGTCTCAACGCAGCGTCTTCATACTTGAAATATATGCTTAATAGATTGTGTACTATCTTATGCAGTGATATTTTTCAAACAACTACCGCCATCTCTAGGTCAGGCTGGGTACTTCTGAAACTACCCTTGTAACGTTAGAAAAGTAGATAGCCAAAATGTTTTAATGATAGATAGATATATTTATTTGATCATGTTATTTATAAAATACATTTATGACAAGTCAGAAAAACAAATAGGTGCAAGGTTCAAAGTTTTCTATAATATAAAATAAACAGTAAAAATTTGTAACAAGTTTACAGGGTACATTATAAAATATTCAAATTAAGTGTGGAGGTTCGGCGAGCATCTTCCTTGTGTCAAAAGTGTGTCTACGCACATGTTCTAAATATTCTGAAGTGGAATAAAAATAGTTTTTTTTTTAATATTTTTACTTTTTTAAAACAAAAAATATTCATATTTTTAATATTGGCTGGAAGTGCATTATACAATTTAAAATCATAGGAGTTTTTTGTGATTTCATCAGCCTGAAACGTTGAGGTCTAGTAAAATTGCTGTTACGTGTATCATGTTTGCCTAAAATGTATTGCTTGGAAAACAAGCAATACATTTTACATACTATTAGATATTCACATTTTTTGTGAATATCTAATAGGCTTGAGTGAACATACAAAGAAGGTACCGACATAATTTCATGAGTGATGAATGATTCACGGCAAGAACCCCAAAAACCGATTCCAGCAAGAATTCTCAGAGCTTTTTTCTGTAATATAAAAATGCATTGGGCATCACTAGAATTTCCTCACAGTAGAATACCGTGAGACTATATGTGAGACTGTATAAGCGAGCAAAATACTATTTTCAACGTAGTGAAATTTGCTATTGGTTTCAGCTGTCTAAGTAAAAATAAGGCACTCAAAAGTTTACTTTTCAAACTTGAAATGTGGCTTGACCAATTCAGCCTATTGTCCAGAGTAAAATAATAATATATAATAAATAATTTGACACACTGGAATTTAGGTAATGGCAGAGCCATAGAAACAATAATGTTTTGTGATTTTTCCTTATTCATCATGAGTTTGTTGACACTGAACCAGTGCTCCGCTTTTTCTTGTATTTCCATAGACTTATCAACAAGAGCTGAATAATTCATAGAACATTACAAATTCATCTCCAATAACCAAAACGGATTCAGGAAAGCTAAATCAACTTCAACGGCTATTGAACAAGCTCTGGATTTTATCTATGAACAGCTTAATAACAAGAAGAATGTGCTAGGTATATTCTATGATTTAACTCGTGCATTTGATATGGTTAACCACAACTTACTTTTTCGTAAATTATACAGCATAGGAATTCGTGGTATACCACATGATTGGATAGTATCATATTTGACAAATCGTTCTCAAGTGACAGTAATAAATAATAGCAAATCTGACTGTAAGAGTGCTGAGTTAGGAGTGCCCCAGGGGTCTATATTGGGACCAACTCTTTTTATAATATTTTCAAATGACATCTACGATACCTGTACCACACCAAATAAAATGATACTTTATGCTGATGACACAAATATACTCTTAGCCCATAAAACCTTGGGAAGTCTGGTAAACTTGGGTAATTATGCATGTGATGAATTCAGTAAATACTGTAGCGACAATGACCTTGTCGGCAATATAAAGAAAACTATGTTTTATCAATTTTTTACCTAAGAACGGTACTTTGAATCCAGATCTATTGAACAACATCAATATGTGTGGTGAAACTCTGGAATACTGCCAGGTAAGTAGATTTTTAGGAATACTCCTGGATCAAAAGCTAACATGGGAGGCACATATCGACAGTTTATGTGTAAAGGTTGGCAGTGCAAACTATGCAATTCGGAATCTGCGAGACACTGTGTCTACAGAAGTTATAAAACTCATGTATCATGGACTGGTACAATCAAGAATACAGTATGGATTGATCTTCTGGGGTAACTCTGCATATACTGACCGCATTTTTAAGGTTTAGAAAAGAGTCATTCGCTGTATGGACAAGTCTCGTCCACTGGACTCTTGTAAACCACTGTTTAAAAAATTCAACATCCTACCATTGCCGTGCTTATACATATTACAGCTAGTGTTATTTATCTATGATAATAAACACCTATATCCAAAAAAACTCTGATATACATAATTACGCTACTCGGGGTGAACATACTTTATACCACCCCTACTCTCGCTTGAGTGTGAGTCAAAATTCCCAAAAATACTTGGGTATTAAATGTTTCAATAAAATAACAACTTTTATAGGGATCAATAAAAGTAGAACTGTAATGAGGAATGAACTATATGATTTCTTGTTGGATAACTGCTTCTACAGGATGGATGAATTTCTTGCTTTTAGTGCTTAGATAAATTACTTAGTTTATTTTATACATATAGTCTTCTCTTTTAAGTTTGTTCAAGATCAAACATTTTTGTTTTGCTTTTAGCGTTTTACTTTTGACTAGTCTAATAAGTAATTATGTATGTGTGAAAATTTTAGTGATGAATAAAACTATTTCTATTTCTATCAAGGATGTAGGGTCAGCAAATAATACACTGTGACATGGCTTCATATATAAAATAGTCATCTCTCGGAGGAATCAGTCCAGTCATCACCAGAAGACGATTGTAGATACCAACAATCGAAACGTCGTGAACTAACGTGACTTATCCTTATTCATCATGAGTTTGTTGACACTGAACCAGTGCTCCGCTTTTTCTTGTATTTCCATAGACTTATCAACAAGAGCTGAATAATTCATAGATGAGTATATCAAAGATGTAGGATCAGCAAATAGTACACTGTGACATGAATTCATATGGTTGTGAAAATTATTGATGCAAATAACGAACAAAAGCGGACCCAAAACCGATCCCTGCGGTACACCTAGGTCAATCGGCCTCAGCTCAATCAAACCCAAAGGAGTACCTCTTACACCATGATATGGCAGTTTTTTGAGTAAAATGCTGTGGGAAACACAGTCAAAGGCCTTTGACATGCAAAAACTAATGCCCTAAAATTCATTCAAATGACAAGATTATTTTTACATGCACAGAAAGAATGTAGGGAATTTGAATTCATGTTTTGTGTAATTTTATGTTTATATGTAAAGTAACACCAATTTTGAGCACTAGGACTAAACAGAATATACTGTAAAATTTTGAAGGTAAATTCAACACTTACCAAGACTCGAATTTATTAAATGCCGTCATCTCTACCATTTTCTTGTTAAAATCCTTCTTGAGTATATTCTTCAGTTCTTGGGTCACTTGTTGAATGACCGAGTTTATGGTCGAAGCGTGAGGATCATTCTTGTCATTTTCTGGTCTCTTTGGAGGTAGCTGATAGGGAACATATGGTTGGGTAGGATGCAGTGGAGGAAACTGTGGATACTGCAGGTGGGGGAGGTACACGGGTTGTCCGTAAGGGTAGGTTTGCCGCCAGTCCTGGTGGCCAGCATAGGGAAACGCTTGGGGGAATGTGGGGTACTGTGGACCTGAATAACCTGCAAATGAAAATTTATGTTGGATATTTTCTTTGACTACAGGCGAGTGTTTTCAAAATACCTCTGATAGCAGCCTGTAGCAGAGCAGCTTGAAAAAAGATAGAAAATCTCTACTTATTTGAAAAATAAATATTTACCTATACTTAACACCGACAAATATTACTACGATAATTCATTCATGTTGTGTATGTAAAGAGGTTTACCTGAGGCTCCAATGAAAGTAGCTTGAAAAACAAAAATTAGGGATGTACTCTAAATAAAACATATTTAGATGATTCAAAATTTCAATGAAGTGAATATTCAATATGAGTTTCAATGAACTGCCATGGGACAATAAAATTGAATGAATCAATCATATTTTTAACCCTGAAAAATGTAATATGTTACAACAAGTAATTCCTACTTCTCTGCTCACACCTGATATGTTTGTTTTTATTAACTTTTTATTTTATTCGCTGTATAACTCTCCTAATATGCATTGTGTATGTTGTTTATAATATTATCATTATATTAAGTTTAGATAATGACAATTCTGATAACCATTCATCTGTTTTATGATTGAACAGTCCACCGATGGATTTATCTACTCATATTGGTCCATTCGAAACGGTAGCCTATTTCTATTGGTTGAAGAAATTCACATAAAATACTTTATGCTTACTCAAAATTAAGTAATAAATCACCTCCATCACTAATTCTTCTATATCATGAATCTCTTTGTCATTTTCAGCTGAAAGATAATTTCAACTCTGAAATTATCTTATACCAGTGTATAAATGAAATTCGATTTAATATTCATCACTTCAGTGAGTTAATCAATGAAAAAAGGAACAATTTTTTAATATGCAATAAGGTGATACTCATTACTAAATCAAATTCAATACTCACCAGGGTAGTGTGGCAAACCTGGGTAATGTGCCGGATAAACACCAGGTATGGGGGGCATGGGCGGAGGTGCAGAGGTCGGAGGCGGAAGAGGAGGAGGCTGTGGGTCTGGCTTCGCTTCCTCGATCTTTTCGTTGCTGCTCAATGACGAGAGACTCATTCTGTCGTCTTCCATCTTAAATTCGTTCTTGAAATCTGACCTGTCGATGGGACTGTAGTTCTGTTCTATGCCCTCTCCAGTTAACAGCTCATCCTCGCTTGACGATATATCGCTGCCAATTTTGTTCGACTCAATATGAGCTTTTTTCAGCAGGGCAGTGGTTTCCAGTGCTTCACGCTGTCTCGCTACTACAGCCTGAAAATTTTTTGAGGAATTGTTGACAAAAAAGATTTTTGGCTCTCAATTTATGGAGGGGACTGAACAAAAATTCACCTTATTTTTTTGAACAGGCAGCGTATATATTTTTAAGCACATTTTCGGTTTGAATTTCCCCATTTTAAACAACCAATGCTTTAGAAACTTGAAATGAAAGGTAAGAATTCAATATATTTTAGAGAACTTAGAGGTATTCAAAATAAATATACAAAATAATTATCATAAAAATAAAGAAGGCACACCGAAATTACTGAAAATTCTGTGAATCTGGATTAAAAAGGGATGTTACAGAAAAGCAGATTAGGAAAATTTATTCAGAAAAACTTTTCAATATCGAGGTGAAGAAAATACTCTTACAAAGTGTTACTCCAGTCTTGAAAATTTCTGCATGACACTTGCTTCTTCTCGGATTGTGACGCGTTTATATTTTTCATATAAATTTCTGTGCTATGAAAGTTTTGTTGACGTGAATTATATCTAATGCTTTTTTGTAATGTTCTGCCGTTTTGTTATTTTGTATTTTACTATGATTTAGCACATGCATAAATAAATAATAATGAAGTACCGGATTATGTTGTTCTGTTTGAGATTCCTTAACACATATAAATAGTATTCTTCTCATGTTTTAGGCAAAATCAGAGAAACTGATTTGTAATGTATTATTTTCAAAGGATTTCAACATATCTGACAAATGAAAGCAACTACCTGATTATGAGTCAATGAAAATGGCAAATTTTCTTCAAAAAACTTCCCAAATTCAACAACACAAGTCTAATAAAAATACTTCCGTCCAACAGAAATACTTTTCCCACACACCGTAAATGCAATACTCATCACCAATCAACAGACTTGGTCCAAAAACATGTACCGAGAAGAGTGCTACAGTTCTGGTATGAGGGGGAAATGTTTCTTGTTAGATTTTTTTATACCCTTCAATGTTTATCAGTTACCTGTTCTAGTGCCAGTCGATGGCACTCCAAATAAATTTCCTTGGATAAGAAGGGAGAAGGAGGCACCGATAAAGGAAAATTTTCATCGTCCTTCATGAAATCAAAGTCCAAGTCAGGAGCCGGTGGATTGATTGGCATATCGCTCAGAGATATACTGGAACGATCGTCGTCACTGTCCATGGAAGTAGGAATAGGATGGTGCTTCGGTAACTTGTCAGAGGCCTTGGAGTCATCATCAGAATCAGCGCCAAAAGCAAGGAACGGAGGCGCCATACCTCCAGCACCTTTTTCTTTCAATAAAAGTGCTATTCGTGTATCCAAGTCCAGGGGTTTGTTTTCTTCTTCTGTCTGCAGTAGAATTAAACAGGTAGAAAATATAGAATGTACTAGATTTATTCACCAATATGAACTGCTGGGTATAAAATTAGGGTCACCCCATGAGTTGAAGTTATCTTGGAAATTTATGTTTTTCTTTGAATTATTTTGGATGTACCATACTGTACTAATGAGTTGCTTCAAATACATAGTTGTTATTTTTGCGCAAAGCTTTTGATAAAAATCGAGTCCTTGCCTGAATTTCTAAAAATCACTACTAGTTTTTTTTTTTTTTTTTTTTCGTTGAAGTTTTATCTGTTGTTGCGACACGAATTGTGGCGGCTTTGAAAATGGCCAACGTCAGCGCCAAACTGCAAGAAACGTTGGTATTGGTGTGTCTCTGGAGTGTGCAACGAATATGGCGGCGGCACCAGAAAACTGGTCTGCTAACTCAAAGACCTGGTTCAGGGCAAGGCAAGACTACAACAGCTAGAGTTGACAGCTTTCTCGTCTCTAGTGCTCTGAGAAACCGAACAGTTACAGCAGTTTCCCTTCAAACTCATCTATCTGCAAGATGTCAGAAATGTAAACATACGTTAGTTGATAGGAGGCGTTGTGCTGTGCTGTTGAATTATCTTCTCGAACTAGAGCTACTGGACTGCCGCTTTCCCGTGAACACTAACAAAATTGAATTTTTCACAAGAACACCAGGCTTGGACAGTAGCGAATTGGAGGCGTGTATTATTTTCCGATAAATCGCGATTCTGCCTTATGGGCTCAGATAGACGTGTACGAGTATGAAGACGACCAAGCGAGAGATATGCTCTAGCGTGTATTGCCGAGCGGTGGCAGGTGAGTTATGGCATGGGGAAGTATATCGTTTGACGCTCGCACGGCCCCACAATGTCCGGATCGTAACTCGGTATGGTGACGAGGTTCAACTCACGCGATTTGTTTGGACTGCGCACAGCCCGGATTTAAATCCCATTGAACATGTTTGGGATGAGTTCAAAAAACGTTTTACGGAGACATGTGCCGGCTCTCAGAAATTTTAGAGAGCTACGCGACATATTGGTACAAGAATGGGAAAATCTTCTGCACAATGTAATCCAAAATATAATCCAAAGCATGTCTCGTCGCAAGAGGAGGAAACGCTCGTTATTTTTCTTTTTCAACCAAATGCATATCAGAATAAAATTGTTCATTTCATTACCGCTGTATAGAATATTATTAGTAGTAAATCGAGTTAAAAATTGATGTTTTCAATTGGGTCTGCTATGCTGTATGTTATCTATGTGAGAAACCTATTATCTGTCCTATCAAATAATCGTTCTCAATCAGTGAGTTTCCCGGAAGGTCCTGCTTTTGCCCCATATTTTTTCTCTATAAGAATTCTGAATAAAAAAAATTTGTAGGAACTCTATTTTTCTACTATACCTACCTACTTCTCCAATTATTACAGGAAAATTGAGGTATGAAGAATTTTATGAAATTGATCTTAACCAGTGGGTTACTTTTTAGAGGATTAAAAAAGTAACAGCAATTCATTATCAAAAGGTTAGGCTAATTGAATTTCATTACTTTGGCCACTTATTTTGAATTCACAAATTGACTATATTCAATAAAGATTAAGTGGTGACGAAGTTTCATATTTCATTATTGACATCACTGAATTTGGTTCATTTCTTTCGACTCAAAACTTTCTCGTTAGATGGCGCCATATAGATTTTTTTAGTTTGGTTGAAAATTTACCATACTCACTAAGAATTGAGTAGTAGCCGAGTTTTAAATTTTGATTGGAAGCTGTAATCAATGGAATGGTTCAAATATCTCAATCATTTTGAATAATGACTTCGACAGTTATGACGGTAATAATGATTTCCAACACTTAATCTTTATCGAGTAGGATCAATTGATGACATATGTAAAAAGATCCATTGACCAAATTGTACCCACTTTTTCTTTATCCTTTTCTTTCTCCCTGCGAGATTTGCTACCAGAACTACCACTATTATTTCTCTTTCGGTCTCTATCTCTGTCTCTATCTTTATTCCTATCTCTGTCTCTGAAATCTTTTTCTTTGCTTCTGTGGGAATGTTTGTCGTCTGACCACTTGGGGGGAGGAGCTAGACCAGCCGGAGACCTCTCCCAAGAATCAATGGGCCACTGAGGTGTTGTCATTGGCCATACTGTAGGGGGAGGAGCACTCATGGGATAGGTGGGTGTTGCGAAGGGAAACTGATTTGTCATGGCTGGCATACTGTGGCTGTGGTAGTCAAAACTAGAAATTTTTGAAAAAAGAAATTAAAAACAGTATATTTATGGTGGTTGAGTCTTACCTCAATGGGGTTGTCCCAGCTGACCCAAAACTTGTAGAAAATTCACTAGGTGCAGTTACGTATCCCATGTCGCCACTATTTGGCGTCGGAAAATCACTATTTCTATAATTTCTACTGGCATACTTATCTCTATCCCGATCTCTCTCCCTTTCACTCTCTCTGTCCTTATTTTTTTTAATGTTCACAATTTCTACTTCTTTTTCTTTCTCTCTGCTTTTGAAAATATCATTTTCATCAAAATCATTATCTGCAGGGTCATATGGTTTATCCCCATCAATTTTATTTTTATCTTCTGTTAAAGGGGTTATTTCCACAACAGACTGGGGCTTTTTATCAATTGTGAATTCTTCAAATTTTTTTTTGCACTAAAATAAATATTACTGCTACTTAATATTACTTCGACAAAGAATTATTTTCCAGAATATTTCGTGGATTCCTCAAAAGTTTTTCTGCAAAAAATATCATTTACCTGTTCACCAAAGGGGTCCAAAAAGACATCAAGAATTTTTCCCATTACACTAGTCTTGTTCAGCTTATCTACGCAAGCCTTTGCATTCTGGACTGTATCGAAAACAGCTCTACCGATACCTAAATGTTTATTTGTAGTAGGATGATAATAGATGAACAATTCTTCTATGACACCAAATTTTTGCACCATGTCACGCAGAAACTGCTTGTCAATGTTATCATTCAGGTGAAAGATGGTTACCTCAATGGAAGGTGGCTCCCCTACATAGTTCTGGTCAATTTTGAATCTTGAACAGAAAACAATCATTTGAAATTAATCAATTTCAATGTTTTATTATTAAACCATTGCTTGCTGAAATCACAGTTATCATTATATAATTCATTTATTCATTTATCCTGAATATATACAGACAGAGTCCAATTACATATACACAGTACCTAAACTACACTAAACCTAACACATATATAGATAAAAAGATACAATTGACAATAAAATTATAAATATAAAATCCCTATAATGAAATATATGAAATCATTGCAAATAGGTGTTAAAAAATATAGGAAATAGAAACGGGCTAGTGTGTAAATTCATAATATATATGTCATATCTGTAAAAATAAAAGAAACATGTAACATTAATTCATTCTTATTGAATAGAAAATAACAGAGATCTGAGATTGGTTGGGGTAATGTTTAAAATATCGATATCAGTGTTTTCAACTAATTTGTTTGTAGTTATCAAGGAGCAATCAACTGGAGAATTTACGTTGAAGTTATGAAATATGCAATCTCTTCGCCTCAGGCGGATATCTGGTATACTGAAATTGATGGAAGCGAGTACATCGGAAAGAAAAATGTTGTTTCGTAATAAATTGAATATGAATAATATTTGAAAATTTTCTCGACGTTTTTTAAGGGTGCTTAAATTAAAATCTTCCATTTGTTTTACATAGGATATCATAAAAGGGTATATTCCATATTTTTTTAGATACATTGACATGAGATATCGTTTTTGTACCTTTTCCAGCATAGTGTATTACAGCATTTTATGTGTTCAACTGCAAAGATCTGTAGATTGCTTTAACGATGAATAAAGATACTACTAATAGTCTGTTTTTGAAAGACCAATTGTTTACATGCATACCCCAAGACACTTGAATTATAGAAAATCCACCACAGTATGGAATTTTGACATATTCAATACTGTGGCGGCTTTATCCATTTGGAGGCTATGGGCAGCAGATTTTTACGATGCCCTGGACCCTGGGCAAAAAGAAATGCAAATTGAAAATAGGTATTTCTGATGATTGATAAGAGATGAAATTCATAAATAAATAAATTTAGCTTTAAAATACTTTATGCGACTCACTTTCTACGAATACAACTGTCACATGTATTTTGGCAATAATTCTCAGCTCAATACTACAAAGTGGCCTACCAGATCTCCCGATTTGAATCCCCCTGAAAGTTAGATTGCTCTTGATCTAGAAGAGCTAAATGATCCAACAACAAATGATCATAAAAAGAAAACATCCTAGATATCATACAAACATATTGTCATTTCGACACCCAAAAGAGAAATTACTTCTTTTATTAATTTTACTTATTTTTCTAGTCCATTTTCTGCTTCTTTATCAACTACATATCTTGATGGCTTTTCACTCTACTCAATAGACCATACATTTCATTGCTTTGCCAACTACTTTTCCATGATATATGTATCACATTTAATCAGTATGATTCAAAATGTTTAACAACACCTAACCCCATTTCGTGATTAGATATTTTTCTCAAGTTTTTTATGAAGCTGCAAAATACTTTTTGATTTGTTTACTAAATGTTTGCAATCAATTCGAATTTGATTTTATTTTATAAAAACTGAAAATATGTATCATAATTGAGCTACTATCGAACACATTATGAGGACGAGACCACTCACCATACAAACTAATCGGCTTCGTTAAGAAGCTGGGTTTATTTGGTTGAGTGTAAATAGGTGTGAGCCACAATAAACCCTTGCGGGTTGCGGTCACCTAACCTAACCTAGCCCAAAAATTTATTTGCTTCATTTTACATGAATTTAGCCACACAATCCACAATTTTCTTTTGAATGTCTTGAATTTTCTTCAACCTGATCTTTTCATTTGTGAAATAAGCTCAAATATTTATTAGCACCCATTTGAAGGCTTTGGCAGAAAACAGAACTTCTACTTACCATTCCAGATTACCACAAGAGTTGTGAAATATATATTACGACAAATAATTGATTGAAATAATTTACCAAACACTTATATCAGACACAGGTTAATAGATACTAATAAATAACCACTTAGTGAACTCTAGGTAAGTGATTCTTTAAAGATCAAGATCTGCCTCAAACAAATTGATTTGGCGTAATTACAGTGCCCAGTAGGTCTGCTATACCAAAATCTGTAATATTTGATGCTAACACCAATGCTACAATCATTGAATGACACATTGAAAATAGCAACAGCAATTTCCATGTATGCCATTTTCATTTATAATAATAATAAATCGACTTCATTTATCTAAAAAAGAAAGAAATGTGGACATATGTGATAAAAAGTAAATTAGATGAACAGGCGGATTATCAGCGTAAGCCGTTTTTCAAATCATCATTACAAAAATATACACTAGAAAAACACTTGTAAAAAATCTACATTAATTGTATAGAACTGGCAGATACTTGATGAAAATCCATATTAAAACTCATTAATACAGTTTATTGTATGATTTCCACTATAAAGGGTTTTACAAAAACCGTGACACCTGTTTCCCTGTACATTAGCTTCCTCAAGCGTAAAATAAATTGCGCTTGAGGAAGCCATTGTATAGCGTAACACTTGTCGCGGTTTTTGTAAAACCCTTTATAGTGGAAATCATGCAAAAACTGTATTAATGAGTTTCAAAAATCGACATACAGAGCACCAATTACTAGAATTTATGAAGAAGTTTCAAGCGTTTCTTAAATGTTATTATCGTGTAGCAATTTATATCATCAATATTCTTGGTGAATGAAAGAGTATAAAATTGTTCTGATCTGTGGAATTGGAAACTCTGGTTAGCGTTTCGTTAACCAAGGAAGAAGTAACTAAAACTGAATCACAGTTTTTTATATTCTTTTTGAACAATCTATTTTGATAATGAGGGTCATGAAATTAAGGTAATCTGATAAATTCTTAGTATATGAGTGTTATATTTTTAACTGTTTGTATATTAGTGACTACCTGATTACTATAACTTGGGAAAAGTGAGGTTAAGTTTGTTAAAAATTCAAAATTTATACTTTACAAATCTTTGTTCATGAGAATATATTATTTTATTAAAACAGACGTTGAAATTTTATAAATCACACTGTTACTAGATTAACTATAAAAAAAATTAAACAAAATAGTGAGGTTATGTACTAAATGCAAACAGACATTTTTTCCTGTGAATTTTATTTAATGATCCACCCTCTCTACAAAACAGTTACTCAGTTCTTCGAAATAGCTTTCATTGCTTTCAATACGACTATTGCTTCTTTGAGGCTACTGAAGATAGGTAACTTGATTACTCTCGAAATAGTAATTTGTATGAATTAAAAATGGTTTATTTTTAGGAGAGAATTTTATTTAATGATCCACCTTCTCTACAAAACAGTTGCTCAGTTCATTGAAATAGCTTTCATTGCTTTCAATAAGACTATTGCTTCTTTGAGGCTACTGAAGATAGGTAACTTGATTACTCTCGAAATAGTAATTTGTTTAAATTAAAAATGGTTTATTTTTAGGAGAGAATAATTTTCAATATGAAGATGGCAATTAGAAAGCCAAAAACTTTCATTCTCTGTAATTTACTATTGAATGTTACATTCAGTTTCCCAATGAGTAAATTGGCAAAATTTTTCAAAAGATAAAAAAACTGATAAAAAGTGAGTTTTTTAATTAAGTGTGATTTTTACAATTATTTCTTTGAAACTATATGGTTATTATCCATTATATTGAAAAAAGCAGCGGAATTATTTACCATTTTGATATTGAGGAAAACCTGCGACATAACGAGAGGTTATATTACAAATTTAAATAACTAGTTATTGAAGTTTTCTTTCCTATGGAAAGTTTAAATTGAATGTAATATCAAGTTTTATTTATTATTTGTTAAGTCATACATATATTGTTATGTTACCGATACAATATCAAGTTCAGTGAAATTATCATCTGTAATGTCTGTGTATGACGAGGGCATCAAATAGCTTACTTCTGAATGGAAAATATTTGGTTTTCATATGCCGAGTTATCCCAGCAAAGAAAAACATGATTCAAGAGGGACTGAATTAATACAAAATATATCTTCAGTAGCACAATATGAACGACATCCATTTTCAAGAAGTTTGTTATTTTGCAAATTTCCTGAAAGCTGTCAGTGAAAATCTTACCTAGGGACAGGAAGTTCTAGTGTCTCAAGCCTAGTCCATATACGAGTTAAGTGAGACCTAGGATCTCTTGCAATAACTGGAGGACAGGATGCATCGTTTGGTACAACCCCATCATATCTGTACAACTTAGCAGCTCCCTTCACAAGAAAGGGGTCTACTAGGAGTTTATAATCCCTGTGAAGTTTAGGAGTGACTTGACCATGGCGATCCATTGTAGTACCATTCATAACTGTGAAATAAAAAGTTATATCATTAAAATATTACAGTAATTTTCAACACTTCTATATCCATACATACCTCCAAAGGAGTTTTTATAGAGAGAATCGAATTAAACAATAAAAATATTATAGAGTAATGATGCAGAATTTAGGAATCAACTCGGTTCAAAAATGAAAAAGGCGGGCATGATAATTTTATCGAAATGATTTTAAAACACAGCTTCACGAATTATTAGCATCAAATTACAATTGAAAAAACTCTTCAAGACTGCGAAAACAATAATTCTAGTTAAGTAAATACACACAGCAAGATGCACCAAACTTTCTAACCTCGACGAATGTCAAAATGTCAGTGCTGTGCCGAGGTACTGCAGTAGTCAAAAAGTTATTGAAGTGTGGTTGGAACTCAAAATGCATTTTTCTCAAATAAATTATATATTTTTGTTGGTAATCTCATAACAATTCAGATTATACATTGAATTATTCTTTTAAAATTGTTTACCAAAAATCCATCTAAAAATTAAAAATGTTTACATCTACACCTCATATGTCTACATTCCGGTATGTTCGTTTGTAATACAAATATAAACATTGAACAGCTCGTATTGCTCGGAAGCGTGCGATAGTGCAGATCTCTCAGATACATTCATTCTGTGTTCAGTATTTACGAGAGTGAGAAAAATGTAATCGATTAGCTCCGAGATCAACGTTAGGATCAAAGATATTTTCTAGTTGTGATTTTCAACATTTAAAAAAAAATTAAGCCTCCAAGCATTTTTTCGAAATTAGTTTACTGGTTTGTCAGCTCATCATTATCTTCAGAAAAGAGTTCATGGCACATTTTTATTGTCATAACGCTACTCATTCTCAAATGAGTGTACGAAATTGTTTGTATTTCAAAAAGACAATTATATATTACAGTTCGGTTGAAAACACTTTATCGATGAAATGTTGATTGTTTCATAGGATGTTTTTTAGACTTGCCATTCAGATAGAATCGATCTATCATTGGATATATTTCGCTCCACTGACTCGATAATCACATGGTATCATATCTGCATCAACTCACTTGGTTCGATTTTTAAAACCGAAACTACCCATCATTCTGATTGATTCGGCCGTAACTTGATGAAGATCCATAGAAATTTCATAAACTACACTTCACGATTTGATCTCCACAAACTTTATTTGAAAAGATCAAATCATGAGATGTACTTTATGAAAATACGTATCATTGGTCTGTCAAAGAGTTAATATTTGGTTCTGTAATCAACCTCACAGCATAGAACGTTGAAAACTTGATTCCGTAATCTGTGACTAACTGATGGTTCAACTGTTATATTTAATATAATCATGAATATTGACCACTAGTATCAACATGAGTTGCGGGCTCTTTAACATAGTTGTTCACAAAAAACAGTACGAAAAAGATGGCTGATACTGACGCATGCGCACAAAAAAATTGTAATGAAAAGGCCTATTGGGTTGACTTGGCAGTTGGCAACACTGGCTAAAGGAAGAAGACATCTGAAAAATTGAAAAAAAGGGCAATGAAAATTATGAAATGAAGGAATCGCATATTTAAATAATTTGTTAAAGAATATATCAGTTTTCAGATCAATAGGATGTTAAGTATGGAATCAGAAAGCAAATGGAATTCTGATAAAGCATGGACAACAGATGAAATTCTAGAAAATGCTAACAAGTGGTCATTGGCTGGCGATGTAGCCCTTTTAAATACAATCAAATCATTTTCAAAAGTATATTATATTGAGGAAGTCTTTCTGTTCACTGTTAAATTTTCTATTTCCAGAACATGCTAAGAAAAACTGAAGAATTGAGTCAGAACATAGATAAATTATTGGTTCATGCAGATGAAGTCAGTTTGAAACTGGATATTTCTCAAAATCAGTTCCACAGCTTGAAAAACACACAATTTATCGAAAATCGAGTTTATGAAGATGACGAAACATTAGATAGTAAGGAAGAGGGGAAAGTAAGGAACCTTACTTCTTGAATGATATTTACTTGATGAATTACAGGAAAGCAATTGTAATGCAAAGAAATTAAACTATCAATCAACATAAAAACAAGTACAATCACCGATAAACGCAACTTGCTAAAAGTTCATATAGGAAATGTTGAGAAGAAAATAAGATCTCTATGAAATTCTTGGGCTTTAAAGTCTGTGAATGTCTGAAATTTTGGAATATATTTCACAAGCCCATATCCAATACCTTACACATTTTTTAGGCTTTGGTTCTGTAATGTGAATCTACAGAACAGTAATTTATTATAGTATGAGTTATAACTCAGATGACAGATATTATTTGAATAAGGAAATTATCTGCTTGGAAAACATTCAGTTTTGCAGAAATTGGAGTTTTGAGACAAAATGTAAATGTTTGATGAGAAACTCTCATTCAAATGTCACATCAATCAATAATACTGTAGGTATATTTAGAAATTGCTCAGAGCTGTACGTTGATTCTACTAAAATATTTTATGCAGCTAATGTTAGTTCTGCCTGTTTCTTCTCCTTCTTCAACAAATTTCTGAGATATGCAGATTTTAGATCTTTCCTATGGTAATTATGTATATTGAGGTATCCCCAATCGCCTTGTACAGTGTGACCAATTTAAACAGGAAGCACCCTATAAAACATTTTTTAACCAATTGGATTTTTTTTCATTAGACAGACACTCGAGAAGTCTACTAGAACACTATATTTCATGAGTGTTTTCAGGGCCAAATGTTTTCATTTTTCAATGTCAAAAATTATTAGCATTTTTTAAAATTATCTTACCACTGAATTCACATAGTTGAAATTACCTCGAAACACTTGCCACATTAAAAAGTTATAAACTGAAGTGTCAAATGGATGAAACCTGGCTACCTGCACTCAATTGCTTTCATATCAGGTCATTCAATTCAACCAATAGGAACAAAGACACGCCCACCACTAATACATTAAAACAAAAGAATCTAGATGCTCATTGTATTAACCTCTTGTCACATTATAGTTTTCTTGGTATTTGTATATACCTACCTTGAATTTTACCTTCAACAAAAACTGTTATGATGTGAAAGTACATATGTATTTATGAATGTATAAATTACAATTTTACTCACTATGAAATTGTTAAATATCTTATTTTTGTATAGTGGGATGACTTATTTCAAATGAAATATATTATTTTATTTGGTAACTGTTGAAACTGACCATTTTTCTTATTGTTTATTATCTTTTATGAATGACGATTCGAGACTATCTGATAATAATTCAAGTAATATATTGTTGTCTTGTCTCCAAGAGATGTAAGATTTTGACTGAGAGAAACTTTTAGGTTGTTGAAAAGCCACCCTCTGAAGAAGATCAAGAAAAAATGATATCAGAATCAGTTATTTTAGGTTTGGAGATAATGAACCAATATTATGAAATGGTAGAAGTCTCTATTAGTGATACTGAAGAAGATGAAGAACCTGAAAGAAGGTATATTGGAAAAAGTAATTAGAAGTAAATATAATTTGAAGTTAGTTACTAAATAAAGGATGATACTGAAAATTAGACATTATAGATTGCCAAATAGTAATAATAATAATAATTTTATTAGTCTCAAGAAACACACAGTTTTTAGACACGTCAATTCAATTTCCAAAGTAGATTTGAGAGGATAAGATTCGTCAATATAGTTTCTAAAAAATGCTTGTAGATAAATTAGATTTACAAAAAAATACAAGTTAACAAGATAAAATTCCAATCTTTTAAAAATTGACTAAATTGTACAGCCATGAGTTTTTACAAATTATAAATCACACAGCTAACATATTATATATATTCAAAGTTGAGTAAAAGTTCGGGAGGTGACCTCAAAAGTGTCTATTTCTTCTTGAATAACTTCGAAAAATTGATCAATTTCATATAAAGGATGTTTGGTTAATATTTTCTTCAATAAGTTTTTGAATCTTCTAAACGGCTAGTTACTAAATTCGACAGATAAGGCATTGTATACCTTAATTCCTATATTATGTGTTCTTATCAACCTATTAGCTGTAGGAACAAGGTTTGATTTATTTCTTGTATCATGTTGGTGTATATCCTTGTGAGCAACTTTATTCATCAAGTTTTGTTGAACAAGAAGCAGATTTTCATAGACAATAACTGAATATAGGATCATTATTTTAAGTTTTACAAATATTGGTCGACGCTTTTCATCATAATTGGCAGAGATTATGCTTCTTTTTCACTGCAGATTTTTGAATGACAAATATTCTATTAAGATGTACTTTTGATGAATTATTCCAATTGATTATACTATACCTAAGGACTTGATGAAAAAGTGAATGATATGTTGCAAGTGCCGCACTTTGTTTTACTATTTTTTTAATTCTTCTGATAGCCAAAACTGTCTTGCTAAGTTTACTACACATGCTATTTATATCGTCTATCCATTTCAGGTTGGAATCCATTTGTACTCCCAAAAATTTGGTAGAATTTTTCTTATCTCGATTTAAGCAAATTGTTTCAAAAATTGAGAGTTTCTGTTTTTTGTTCATTGAGAATCAAGTCATTTGGTGTGAACCATGATCGAGCTTTCTCTAATATGTCAGTATGGATCATATGAGGATCATCTATTTTATATATTTTTTTGCCCAAGGTTGCATAATCTGCATATAGTATAGTTTCTATGCCTGACGAGTTCATCACGCGAGACAGGTCGTTGATATAGATTATAAACAGAAGTGGCCCCAATATTGACCCTTGTGGTATGGTATTTCCTAGATCAACAATTTGATATCTTTCGTTAAGGTATGGCTTCATTCTGTCCAGGGAGACACCTCTCACTCCGTAGAAATCTAATTTGGCCAATAAGATCGAGTGATTTACAGAATCGAATGCTTCATTTCAATAAAAGATTGTGGTACAGTATTTACAGAACAATTTTCAAATACAAAAAAACTTGCATTAAAAAACAGCAACCACTCAGGGTTTGGCAGTATTATATTAAAAAACTTACATTTTCACATAGAAAAAGACTCATTCACAGATTAGATCAATCTTACTAACAGTCATTTCATTCCAGTTTTATTTTAAAACCAAAAGATACCTATGCTCACCGTCCATTACCTCCTGTAATTGGAACTGATGAATGGTATAAGCGATGGAATTCAGAAGACTCTTCAAGCGACAGTGGTGATGATAAAATGGCTGATATTTATAGTGAATCGGATTCGGAAGATAACTTGCCAAAAGATTTGGTAGGTGTATTTTTGCAGTGTCACTGGTTCAATATTCAAATCAAAGAACCACCAGAAAAATCTATCTACAGGATTCTAAAAGTCTAGATATATACTTTGCATAAATTTTCTGAAGACAATAATCATAATAATTTCACTAGTTCGGACTTCCATTGTCTACTATATAAAATGATTTGAAATCCCTGANTTGGTACAGCATGTAGTAACATATGGTTAGTCAAATAATCACTGAGATTTTATTAAAATATACAGTCATAAACTTAAGCACTGAATATTTTATTAAAATCTCTATTGCAGCTACAACACATGGTATTCAGGGAAATATATGAATATGTCCATGCAAAGTATTTGTTCAAGAGACTGCTTGCATACTTTTTCATCGCAAAAATTGATGGCTAGTGAGTTTTGCTTGTAAACAGGCAGCTGCTTGTCAGAAAAAACCTTTTACAGAAACTTTTACTTGCAGGTTTGATACACATACTTAGAAAGACATATACTTAGAAAGACTAACTTATAAAAAATAAACTTAAAGACAGACAACTTGAAAATAACTTAGAAAAAGACACTTAGAAAGACATAAACGTAGAAAGAAAGTCTTCCTACATGTGTTTCATGTGTCATGAAATCCATAAATGTTTTTTTTATTACTGCAATATCGTATATTGTACATCATTTTTCACACATTTTGAGTATCACATTATCCATTTTATTGTTAATTGAATATATTCGGGTCTGGATATGAATATTCAGTATTCGCAAAATAACTTTATTATTTGAAATACTCATTAAATCGCTCCTCTCTCCTGCATTAACATAACACTTCATGGCCCACCGCTTTAATGATACTATTCAGCTAGTTTCGAGAAGGAAAGTTTTTCACAAAATATGATCAGATTAGGTTTGATTTCAAATCAGATCATTTTCACTCCTCAATTCATTTACTTCTCAGCATTGATTTTGATAAAAAAATATAAATACAGTAATGGGAAATACTCTGCATTTGTTTCTACAGTTCAAAGGATCCGAAACTAGCTCAGAGTTGGACTTTTCAAGTCAAACAAGTGAAAATCGACCGGTAGCTCATTCGACATTTGATGATTCTACCAGAAGACCGGAATTAGTGACCACATGTGAAGAACAGGAAAATTCAACAGTAAATGTGAGTTCTAATTATTAGATATGTGCTGAATAATTGATCGTCTGAAAGATCTTTGATATAATATTTTATATTTTATTCTGAATTTCAAGGCATCGATTTCAAGTAAATTATTTGCTGAACAGTTGGCTGCTAAACTTGACAGTGTTATTAGTACACAAGAAAATCTAACTGGACAAATCAATAAAGAACCAATCCAACCTGTGAGAAGTAATACATTTTGTGGTAAGTCAGACTTGTAACAAGATTCAATTTCAGTAGGTTTTTTATGTAAACTCTGCGATTTACTGGATATATTATTATACCAAAATCTTGAAGTACTTTAAAGAACTCGATCATCATTTAATTACTACTATGTTGATTCAATGAAAAATATAAATGAAGCATAACAAATTATTATCTTCCACAGGTCTCTACTCTTGATCATTATGATCATTCACAGTTTTTGATTCTTTTTAAGTTTCATGTCTGAATAATCTGTGTTCAGTATTGAGTAAAAACATTATTAGATAGATAGATAGATAGATAATTTATTGGTGTTTTATACATTCATCAGTATTTACACAAGTCAATATGTACATATAATTAAAATTAGTATATGATTGTTAAGATCTAGTATCGCCATTTCAGTGTTTCTACCTTTTCGGAATCCATACTGGCAGTCTGTGAATATGTCATAATTCTCAAAATGATGTACAATTTGTAGAGCTATACATTTTTCAAATATTTTTGATATTATTGGTAGCAGAGATATTGGTCTGTAGTTTGTAGGATCATTTGGGTTTCCACTTTTGAAGATAGGTATTACTAATGCTTCTTTCAAGACGGAGGGGAAAATGCACTCTTTTGTACACTGGTTCAGCAGTTTAGTTAGAGGGATTAGAATTAAATTTGATAGGCATTTGATCACTTCAACATTCAGTCCATATATATCTCTGCTGGGTTTATTTTTTAATGACTTTATTACATATCTAACTTCATTGTAGGTAAATTCTGTTAGAGTAGAGTTTTCAAAATTCAAATTGTTTAGTTTTTTGAGAGGGTCCAAGTTTGAACTATCTATTTTTTGGATTAGGTTTTTTGCATTATTTACAAAGTAAGCATTGAAGGTGTTTGGTGAGACTGGTGGGTCTTTACTTCGTTGTTCTCTGTTTTTGTTTTCCTTTATGATATTCTACATGCATTTATTTTGATTTTTCATCTATGTGAAGCTATCTGCTTTCAAAAGTTCCTTTGAAAATAGAATAATCAGTGATTTCATCATTTTGCATTTGAAATTACATTTATATGTATAAATTATCAGTTGAAGAAAAGCCAGATAATTCACTATATGTAGATATAAACTGTTGTAGACAGAAGTTGCGAATTACTTTATCTACAATAAACGAAAATCCCTCTTTCTTCCTCTCTTTTTGTGTCTAAAGAGAGACGGATTTTGACATACGCTCTCTGTTCTTCAAATTAAGTGATAGATAAAAATATAAAAAAATCATTTTATTTTTATTGTTCTAATGCAGATGATTTAACAGGTAATCTCTTCTCTGATGAACCACCTCCTTTGAGTGAACCTGAGGATAGACTTTTTCCAAAATCAGCTAGCGCTGGTATATTTTCAGGAGGAGAACGTTTATTTGATGATGTTGACTCCATTCACGGCGGCAATCAGAACAAAATGCCATTCAATACAACAAGAAATGATGACCATAAGAGTGAAAATTCAGGACAGAAAATTGACAAAAACACAAGTTTCTTGCCTAAATCTTCAAAAGTCTGTATATCAGTGATAACGTCAAATTATTATTGACCTAAAAATATTTATTTTGAAGGTGAGCAAAGGTCTATTTGACAGTGATGATAGTAGTGATGATGATATATTTTCAACAAGTAAAACTCCATTTGCTAAACCGCCATTTCTCAAACCAAGTGTTCCATTGTTTGATAATGAACCACCGAAATTAAAAGATGAACCACCGAAATTAAAAGATGAGTATAAACCAACAGAGGAAGTCAGCAAAAAGGTAAGAACACAAATTGAAAGAATATTATTTGAAGAACTTTTTTTGGCTATCAGAGAGTAAATATTTTTCAAGTTTAATGGAAAGGCTCAATTTGACTTTCATTTTATTATTTAGAAACCCACTGGCGGTGTGTCGATATTTGGCAATTCAAATATTTTTGGCAACGACGAAATAAAAAATGTGCTCAAAAATCAACAACAGAATATCACCCATGACCTCTTCAAAGAGGAAGAGAAAAATACATCGGAACCAGCGTCTGTTATACCTCAGCAAGTTCCAGAAGATAAGAGACAAGTGAGACGAAAACAATTCAGTCTATTCGACGATGATACTGAAGATAACTTTTCTCAAGAATCTAAAAAAGTACCTCTCAAGAAAAATAACCTTTTTGACGATGAAGATAGTGACATGGAAAACAAAGTACTCATTAAAAAAGAATATCCAGATACAAAATCAGTCAAGTCTGAAGATATATCACAAGATATAAAGAGTTATGACAATGTTGAGACAGAAAAGAAACCACTCAAAAATGTCAGTCTATTCGATGACAAATTCAATAGCAGTCTAGCCAACAAAAAAATAAATATCAGTCTCTTCGATGATGATGATGATGATGAACTATTCAAGGATGACCTATTCTCAGAATTAACCTCAAAGAAGTTCAAATCTAACTTGTTTGATTCAAATGATTTATTTAGTGAGAAGACAAGCAGTGTTGACAACACTATAAGAAGGGATGATTTAAAAAACAAAAATGAAGTCATTACAGATGATACCGTTAGTGTATTAGGTGAAGAGAAAAGAAGTCACAGTTCCTCCATGGATGTTGAAGATGATCCAAAGTTTGAGAATAACGTTGAGGTGTCTGTCAAAGATGACAGCCTAAATAATAATGGATTGCACGTTAATATTGAAGAAAATTCTATAAAAAGGGAATTTATGGTTCCTGATGTTGATGAAGCACAAACTAATGATAAACTTTCGAAACTTTTTGAAGGAGTTGGTAAAGGCCTGTTTGATACTGAGCAGGAGCAACAGTCATCTGGATTGGGTGAGTTGAATTTTGATATCAGATTGAATTACGTATATATTTAAACTATTTTCTTATTTATTTATTGTTCAAGAAGAAAACGTAGTCTCTCATCTGTCACCGAAGGAAGAGACTACTCCAAGGTATGATTCTGAACAGAAAGAAGATAAAGTTATTGTTAGACTCTTCGATTCAACTCCTCCACCAGATGACGACGATGGTGATTGGGATACAAAATCAGATAACTTTTCTGATTCTGATGATTATACCTCATATCGTGCTGATGAAAATTTGCAAAGATCAAACTTATTTGATGATGAACCACCATCCTTGGGTCCAAACGATTCCAGTGGGATAGTCAGAGATCACAGCACCAGGTAAACACCATTTTGTTATATTGTTCATTATGTATCCATCATCATCTTCTGTTGTACATACCACGAGAGCCTATTGAATTAGTCAGAAATTATGAGTTTATATTATAAATCTTCATATGATACATTATCAGTAATATTTAAAGAAATGTGAAAATTCATGCATTCTCATTGTAATTGAAATGGCAATCTCAAGTTTAAACCACATAATCATATACAAAAGTATTTCGCTGGTACACTGACAATACAACACAAACACTTCAACTGAAACTTTAGACTATCACTCAAAAGTCTATCGCCTTATTAGATCATTTCGTACCAAACTTTCAACTAGAGTTCCCTGGTCTGCCTGTTGGTATTGTTTATATATCGCAATGGAAGTCTCTGAAAGCCGATAGAGAAGTCTCTCGAAACGACGCGACATCTAGAACATTTGAGAAGTGCAAGTCAGCTTGAGGGCGACCTTGATTGACGAAGACCAGCGGCGGCCGGCGATATTTTGTTTCAGGGGATAATTTACAACATTATTATAACGTTTTTGAGTTGAAGATTATCAATTTAAAAATGATTTCCAACAAATTTGTGATCAGGAGAAATAGAAAGTACTGTTATTTCTTGTTATATAAGTTATAAATGTTTTTCAGTGTTTTATATTTTTCAGTTTGTTCTGGTTAAATGAATTAATATAGTAAAACCCTGGTTAACCGAAATAAAAGAGGGACAACTGTTTACCGGTTAATATATCGAAAACTAATTGAAATATGTGTGTTTGTGTAGGGGAAATGATTAACAAACGATTTCTATAGGTTTTACTTTGTATTTTTCATTTTGAAACAATGCATGCTATTACAAAAATGTATTGTATTATTATTGGCGTAGTGTTCAACGTTTCTGAAATATTTCGCAATTTTATTTATATGTACATGGAACCTTGGGAGGCTCATCGGTCTCCAACCACTGTCCGGAACGTCTCCTGTTGTCATAGAAGTTCCACTTTTATCACACGTGACGTACCGATCTAAAAAAGGATCGTTTTGGTTGCGTGAAAGCAAAGAAAGAAGTGGAGCACCCATATTTAAAAGATCACGATCTATAGATGGGGCATTCCTAAAGAAAGAAAACAAGCTTACAGTGTTAGACAGATTATTTTGTAAGTTCTGCGGGTTCAGTTGCCTGACAAAATTCAAAAATATAAAAATTACATGAACAATAAAGTATCCGTTTAGTGATCAACAGAAGACTATTCTAAATATTTTAAAACATTTTTGGGTATACCTCTGGTAGGTATATTTGTCATCGGGCGTTTTTTGTGGTATATTTTCCGAACTGTTGTGTAATATCAACAGTAAAATTTTACTAGGTAATTGACTAGGTAAATTACTAGGTAGTTGACAACTGAAAGAAATCATCTTACAGTTGTAAAATGCTCAGTGAAATCTACATTTACACATCCCAAATAGCCGTCCTACATCTGATTTCCTCAATAAACTGTTCTGTCTTGACGTCTGCCCCGTCTGAACTCATTTTCAAAACTATTCACTCGGAATCGGCAGAGCGAATGGCGCCAACAAAAACGTTGAATGTCTGCATAAAATGCCTCTATCTGGGTACGTGTATTTTAAAGTTTATAACCACAAAATGTGGTTGGGCATCTGCGGTCCAAATCTATATTTTCGATGGCATGATTAGACGGACAACCGCACGTTTGCCACATCTGACCGCAAATTTCTTGACCGCAACTGCATAAAAGGAAGCACTTGCTCCGACATAAATAATTTTTGAACGTTTTATACGAACAAAAGTTTTGAAACAACTTAACATTTTTGACTGTAGATCAAAATAATATCCTAACTTGCTGATGGTATGCATTGTACATATTTCATTTCCGTTTTATTATTAAAAAAATCACCGCAAATTTTTATTGTGATATTGATTTATTTCTACAAACACTTGTATAAAGTGAATCCAAATTTATGTATTGGAGTTTAACGATAAAGCAAAATATCAATACTGTCTTCCTTTTTAGGGTTTACACAGATGATTCATCTTTTTATCCATATGCCTCTTCTTCAAGAAGATTGTCTTCTGATATATTCAGTGAACAGCAGTACCAAGACAGTCTTTTTGTTACTAAAAGCGGAGCAGACTCAGCAACGGTGCCATCAAATCTTGATATTATACAAGAAGTTTCAAATATAAGCACAGTTAACATAACACCTAGCGAAAATATACCAGGGATGGAAACTACAGACAACAGTAAGTTGTGATCAATTTTCTGATTGATTTGGCCGTTACTTGATGAAGATCCATAGTAATTTCAAAAACTACACATCACGATTTGATCTCCATAAACTTTGTGAAACTTTTTCAAAGAAAAAATAAGTAATCTTGTCATTTGTTAATTTTCTTCAGAAATTTTGTTGTCATTCGTTCATTTTCTTCAGAAATTTTGGATTCAGAAAACAATTTCCTTGCTATTGATGAGCCATCTATCAAAAATGAATTGGAATTTGCAAAGGATGGAGAAAGTAATGAAATATCAAGTAATGTAAGTAGGGATCATGGTGTTAAGAATATATTTATCGACCAAAACAGTAACGATCATGAAAATAATGTGTTACAAAGTCCAATGGAAAGTGAAATCAAGGGTTCTCGACGAAATTCTGCGATATCCAGTATAATGGACATGCTCAAAAATGAAGGGGAAAGTAATAACCTCAATATAAAAGGTAGGAAAGAAA